CTAAGAGAAATTACATATTCATTTAATAAATAACTTACTTAAATTTTGTTGTTTATTTTATTTTATTTCACATACAATTTTTTTTTGAAAAATATTAGGAATGTGTTAAATGTTATTTATATGCGAAGTAAGGTTTATAGGAATAGTTAGGCTATAATATAGTTTTTAGTGTGTAAAAGTAGGTGTGTTTTTTTTTGCTGTAAATATTTTTTATATCGTAGATCAAAACTTGATATAATTCTATATTTATAGTATTTATATTTGTATTAAACGATTTATCAATTTTAAAATAACCTTAATTAAGTTAATATTCGTTGTTTAAGTTTCATTAGATAGGCTTTTATATAAGGTTTTTGTAAGTTTGAGTTTTGTTCATAAATGATGTGGCATTTTTATCTACGGCGTCATCAACTGTGGGAATCCATTCGCCGGAGTCTGGAATCGGTGGTGAGGAATGTTTTCAAGGAAATTATAGTAGTTATTATAATGTAAGAGAAATTATATATTCATTTAATAATAACGAAAATAATTGATAGCTGTGTGGTTTGAACCCACAATCTTGCATACTTAATTAGACACCTTATAAACAAAAAGCCCATATGATAATAACCTAAATAAAAAAATTAAAAATACATGATAGCTGTGTAGTTTGAACCCACAATCTTGCATACTTAATTAGACACCTTATACCACTTGGATAAAATGTATTTCATTGTTTGTGACCATCTTACCAAGACTATGTGTGTTTAAAAAATATTTTTATGATGAGGACATTAATTGGTTTATGCATGAGAGCAATGGGAATTGAACATATGTCATTGGCGACCAAACATTGGGTCTTAGACCACTTGGCTAAACTGATATTCTTTGTTTGTAACCATTTAAAAAAAAGTATCTATTTTAAAATAAAAATATGGGACTCACAATCTGCTTATATGGACACCTTAAGGAGCTTTTAAACTGAATCATTATAATAATATAGATTATGTTCATTTTAAAAAATATTAGAACTCGGATTATTATGAAAAAAAGAGCCGTAAAGAATAATTAAGAGATTAAAATTAATCAAGAAAAAAAAAAGAAAGAGGAAGAGGTTAAAAGAAGGAGGAGTGTGCGGCGATGCCAAAACCCATTCACAAGAAGGAACATCTCTTCTTTTCCCCTTGCTCACTCCAACAGTCAATCATTAACCAAAAAAAACTATCTTTCTTTGTCAGTAATGGCGACACCGAATCAGGAAGCAATCGACACCTTCATTAGCTTCACGGGCGCATCAGACGCCGTCGCCGTTCACAAGCTCCAGGTCATTCTCGTTTCTTTTTGTTTTTCGATGAGACGATCGTTTAAATTAATCATCGGACGATCGTTTCTTTTGTTCATTGTTGTATAATATCACATCTCTGATTAATAATCCAAGTTGATTTCTCTTGTTACCTTGCTGATTAGCTCTTCGGTTTCTACTGAATTTATTGATATTGATATTGATACTCGCAGGAGTATAGTGGTGATCTTAATCGAGCTCTGAATGCATTTTTCAGCGGCCAGGGAGATCAAACTGCGTATGCCATACTATATTTATCATCTTTTTTTTTCATCAGAAAATTTTTAATTTTATATCTTCTTTTGTGCAGAGCCCCAGTGAACGTCCCTGTAGACGATGCAATGGATATAGATGATGTGAATCCAATGGATAGCACTGCTATTGAGGATGTCGCAGAAACAAGGGTTATTATTGATGAGGAGAGTGATGTTCCTTTTGCAACTAGGCAACTTATACCTGCTGCACCCAATACTAATATTCAAGGTTACAATGATATTGAAGAAGAGATGATTCAAGCTGCCATTCAGGCCTCTAAAGTGGATGTTGTTGAGGTCAGCTTTTCCATTCAGCAAAAGGCATCTAGTATTTTGGGTTTGGCTTATCCATTTAGCATATATTTAAACCTTTTTTTTATATAGGGGTTAAGTAATCCTTTGCCTGTTGAGAGGGCGTCTTCTCACATGGGAGATGATGACATAGCAAAAGCCGTCACCGTGTCATTGCAGGTATGTGGTTGTCTCCTCTCTCTCTCTCTTGTATTTTTTTGCTTTTTTTTCTAACATAAGGGAGTGCAGTCAGCCGAGGACCAAGTGTTGCGCAATCAAGGGTCAACATCGGAAGTAGGAGCTTCTGGAACAGCTGCTGCTCAAGGACCTGAAGATACACAAGCCCTAAATGGAAGGTTTGTTGGTTCTTTTCCAGTAACGCTTTGCCACTTTGTTATCTCTGAGCTTAATATCTCCAAACTTCTGTCAAGCGGTTTATCTATCTACTGGTGTTTTGTCAAAAAAGTGAGTGAGGCCTAACAAATTGTATTTTGTATATTGTCTAGATTGGCAGCACCTAGCTCACCATTTGAGGATGAGTCCGATGACGATGATGAGGAACCTCTTGTTAGACACAGGCCAATACGTGTGGCTTCTGGATCTCTGCCTGACGCTGATCGTTCCCTGAGCAGGAGTCCTGATCCTGAAGGAGATAATCAAGCGGACAATGGCAATAGCTTTCCTTCTGAGGTATCAACATGTTTCTTACACAGAGTCTAGACTAGTATACATGGACTAGCTACTCTAGGATTCTTAGCTGTAATGCTTGGCATTACTGATACTCTGTTTGTATATGCTCAAGTGGGGAGGCATTTCGTCTGAAGAACATGATGAAGCTGTCATGCTCGAGGCAACCATGTTTGGTGGAATTCCTGAAACTGGATATAATCATCTTCCATTCGTACCTCCTCAGCACAGGGCACCACCACGTCCACCCTCACCTTCATTGACAGCTCAGAGGTTGATACGTGAACAGCAGGTTAGTTGCTTGACTTAAACCCCTTTTGTTTTATATTAGTGATAATAAAATTTCTTGAACTGCTACCCCCACGCAGGACGATGAGTATCTTGCATCCCTGCAAGCTGACCGAGATAGAGAACTACAATCTATTAGAGATGCTGAGGCACGTCAGTTAGAGGAAGAAACTGCTAGAAAGGCTTTTCTGGAGGAAGAAAAGAAAAAACTCGAGGAGGAACAGGTACTTATCTCTTACTAAGGCCTCGTTGAAACAAGTTTTGTTTTCTTAATCCTTGATTCTTGATTGTTAACGAGACTCCTGCAAAGTGGAGAAAGAAAGATCAGCTAGACCAAATGCACATTACTGAAGGCGGTTCTGTTGTTATTGATTACTGTATTTTTGCCTGTGAATGTTGTTGCAGGAGCTAGAGAGGCAACTAGCTGCAAAAGAAGCGTCTCTACCTAAGGAACCACATGCAGACGTAGAGAATACTATTACCCTTCTAGTCAGAATGCCAGATGGAACGAGACATGGCCGCCGATTCCTTAAATCAGACAAACTCCAAGTGAGTTGTCCCAAAAAATCCATTTGCACTTTGCTGTCACTTTCACTAAAAATCCATACCTAAACAAATGAGTTGTTTTGCAGTCTCTTTTCGACTTCATAGACATAGCCAGGGTGGTGAAACCCAAGACTTACAGACTGGTAAAAACTTTTGCATCTTTATCAATAAGACCTCTCTTAAGCCATATGGCTAGAGATGGTGTAAAGCCAAAAATGATATGCTTGTCCGGTGTTGGCCTTGAGTCTAAGTTATGGTGTGTGATGAAACAGGTGAGACCTTACCCTCGGCATGCGTTTGGAGATGGGGAAATTGAGTCGACTCTGAACGATCTTGGTTTGAACAGCAAACAAGAAGCATTGTTCCTTGAGCTCATCTGAGTCCAAACTTTTAGCTCTTAATATTATATCAGACTTGCATTCGTTTTCCGTCTTTTAAGTTATTTTTTATGATGTCAAAAAGTTATTTTTTATATTTCTATAAAAGAAAAAATATTAGTTGGGAGGGATTATAAAGTTATCATCCAATCGGCGTTTTAGTCGTTTCATTTGTACATAACATTACGTTGCCAGCAGAACAAGAGCCAACTGAGAACATGCCTAGACAGAATAGTTACAACTTGTAACTTACAAGATCTGCTGCCTCTTTGAGGGAGATCAAAACATCAAAGTTTAAAAACACAAGCTGATGTGAGATAAACCAGGACACGTTTTTCTCTTTTTATGTTTTTGAATAAGATATCATCTCGATTTATCCCATAACTATCAATTTGATACACTAAACCTATTTTCTGTCTTTTTCAGTCAGTGCAAATTTGTTATAGTAATAATCAATTTCAAACATTTTCAAACTTCGAACTAGACAATAGGAAAATTACGTTTTACTTAGCGACTCACAAGTATTCGTTACAAAATTGTTAAAACCCTTGTCTTTTTACTCTCTCTATGTTCGTTCCTCGTCCTCGCCTTCCAAGCAAAACCCATCTTCAACTACTTGTAGCAAGAACACCCTTCAAGTGAAACCCTTTTGTCTCTTGCGATATGAGCAGCTCTCGTAGCGACGCTGATCAGTACTTCAAGGTGTTTATTTTTTCACGGTTCTTTTTTTCTGCTTCTTTTCTTGACATCTTTCGTAAGTCGAGGAGGAAGATCACCGGAAGTAACCATTGTTTCTTCCGAGACAACTAAAAAGAAGAGAGAGAGATTGGTGAGTAGGGCTGGGAAAATATCCTAATTTGAAAAATCGAAAAGTAGTATTGAATCCAAACCAAAATTAATTTATGGGTTCAAAATTTTAATATTTAGATAACCGAATCTGATCCGAACCGAAATATTTCGAATATATCTAAATTAGATTTATACCTGACTATTAGTTAATTTTAGATATATTATCGAAAAAGTATCAAAAATGGAGTACAAGATATTTTGAGGTTTTCCAAATATATTTAAAAATATATGTAAATAATCAAAAATAACTATTTAAAGTAGCTAAATAAAGCTAAAAACAACTTTAATACTTAAAAAAATCTATTGATTATCCATCCAAATATTCAAATCAAACCAAATTTTATGATAAATTAAGGTATTTTGACATACATCACTCAAATTTATATGTTATATATCATTTTTATTTTTAGATTTTTGAAATTAAAAATATATATGAATTTTAAAATTTTAAACATAATTTAAACGGGTTATCCGAATCTGAACCAATCCGAACCCACAATAATCCGAACCAAATTCATACCAAATTTTATAAATATTCAAATAGAACTGAAATTTCTAACTCCGAAAACCCAAAATTCGAATGGATCCAAACCGAACCCGAATGTATACCTAAACGTCCACCTCTAGCTGCGAGTGAGACGAGTCTGCGATTGTTTATATATATAGATGATAAAGTTTTACCAATTTATTTTTTTCTGTTCTGCTCAACGAATACATTGAATTAACAATACCAGCCCATTTATCACATATGGTTTTGTGAAATAGCAGTCGGTGATGCGAGTAGTGTTTGTAATAGTGATTGTGTTGTGTTGGAGATTGCATTTACAATAGCAATTGAGAGAGCAAAATCTGTTAAAAACTAAAGACAAAATCAGGTAATACAATCTCGAATTGCGACTTTGCGAGCTAAGTAGTTCGACGGTAAATCGTTACGAAGATGTGTGATCTTTTTTACCTCTGAAGACTCTTCAGAGTTTGTTATTGTCATGATGAAAATCAAAAAGGGAATGCTCCCTTTATTTTTTTTTCTTCTAGACTCTATCATCACAAACCCTAAAACTCGTAATAATGGATATATATATATATATATATTAAATAGTCTTACTAAAAATCTTTAAAAAAAAGAATCTTCAAATTTTATATTAAAAATAATAGTGACAGTTTATGATGAATTAATCTACAAGATTTGTTGACAAGCCAAATTTTTCTTAGACTGGGCCAAAGATATACATATAGTAAACCACATGAAATTTGTTTCTCTGTTTTCCTTTGTTTCGGGTTGGGTTTCACTTCCTTGATGAAAGCAACGGGCTTCGTTTGGTTCGTGGTCTTCGGATTTCTCGATGGCAATGATCTTAGCCTACATGGCAGCCATTCCGGGTGGATTCATTCGGTAGGCAAGGTTTCCATTTCGCATCCTGCCCATTAGGTTGAGTGTTACACTGTTATAAGCTTTGCTTTTGTTAAGGATGGTTGGGCTTTTCTATTTGAGAAATTGCACTCTACACATTAAATTTATGTCATATTTAGCTCAATGCACATCCCATTTTTGCTTCACTTTGATCAAGATTTTGTGGACCCTTATGCCCCTACTCCTTCTGCTTCTTTTGGTTTCGATGTTTCTAAGGCATCCATTTTTTATATATATTTTTTTTCTGATAATCTATTTCCATACAAATTTGCTTGTCTATTCCTTTTATCTAAACTTATTTCTTTCATTTCAGATTGTGATCTAGATCTAAAATCTGAGATTGAGTTTTTGGGTCTTTGGCTCTGTTGCATGTTCTTTTTGTGTTATTTGATCCTAGTTGCTGTGGTTAATATCTGGTTTGTTAGGCCTTTGGATTTAAGTTGTTGGTTTCTTAGACGGCCTCATATCTTTATTTAAGAATCTCTTCTCCGATTTTGTGCGCTTTCATTCTTCTTAGTTTGTGAAGCAGTCGAGCCATTTAGAAGCTTGTTGGCTTTAGTTTCATATTTTGTAAGGGTTGAATTATCATCAATCAAATCTTCACAAGGAAAAAAGAAGAAATCTTCATTTAATCTTTGTTTCATGTTGCTCTAAAATTTGTATAGCATTTTGAAAGTTCTTTTTGGTAATCTGCATTGTAAAAGTTCTCATCTTAGTGTCAATGGATTTAAACGTTTATCGAATCCCCCATATCCCTACCATTTTTGACAATTTCAGTGCAAAGGTTGTGGTTAATGAAACCACCGTTAACCTTGGATTGTGGGATACTGCAAGTATTTTCATTATACAACTATCCTGATTTTTTTTTTTTTTGAGATTTGGATTTTGTGCTTTTGAATCTGAGATTTTGAATTTTGTGTCAGGATAAAGAGGATTACAAGAGACCAAGACCACTTAGCTATCGAGACAATACAAATTTTAGCCGGATACTATTTTTTAAATATGCAAAGGCCAGTTATATAATTAATTAGATTGGATACTTAATATTTTAGCTGGCTAACAATACTTTATAAACATATATCAAGGGTAAAGTGGTGGTAAAACACTAAAATTGTAATGCGAGTGATGTTAGACGGCTATTTTAGTGCATTGTAACAACCGAAAAGTAATAGAGGGTTACATAATTTATTAGATTGTATACTTGTTGTTAGCTGGCTAACATCACTTAATAAATGTATTATAAATAAAATTGGTGGTAGATGATGATAAACATGTGCCACAGCTTCTGATAAATATATGCGTATGTGTTTATTTACCAAATTCTTATTAATGCGTAATAAGCATACAAGCAAAAGCTCTTACATTATAACTTCATATTATAAAACAAGCTAACTTCTTACATACAGCTAATTGTTTCTACAAACAGTTATTCAAAAGTTTATCCATCCAAAAATTTACTATCCCCGGCTAAACTTTAAATTCCTCCTTACATTCGGCTAATTGTTTAAATAAATGATTAAACAAAATTTTAACCATCCGAAAACTTACTACACCCTGACTAAATTTTATGTTATCCATTTTACAAAAACTCATAGACATTTAGAAAACAGATCCTAAGCTTCCATAGTATAATACAAGATCCAGCCACTAATAGTAGACTCCACTCAACACCCACCATAGGTGTTGCTGCCTTCCAATGATATCTCCCCAACCTTTGATTTCAATACATTATTTTCCCACTTTTCTGCATGCCAAAGTTAGCTTCGACTACACTCTCGACCGGTTGTCTACATCTCTCCCAGGTTTATGTTCTCCATGATTTGGTGCTCACCACCTCCACAAGGTAGACACACATTAAACTTATGTCATATTTAGCGAAATTTCACTCTACACATTAAGCATGGTGCATCACATGTAGCGATCACATCCAGAGGAAGGACATGGTCTTGATTGCTTGATACCGCAACACCTAATCATAAAACACGGATGTAATCTCATCAAACAGTAATCTCCGCACCACAGTTGAAATTTAATCATACATATTAAAATTTTGATTAAATTTTATTTTTTATCTAAACAATTTATTATCATGCCAATAAACTAAGAAACAATTCAAATTATATATATAATCATTGTAATTGCACATCAACTAATCATCACATTAGGCTAACTTTTATATTAACTGTTAATTGATTTCAAGGTTGAACTATTTTTGTGCTTCCTCTGTGCTGAAGAGAAGTACGGAGTCATGAAAAAGAGATTTAAGCGCTGAAGAGAAGCGAGCCACTGCAGAAAAGCGGAGGCACGTCAGAGGTGGAGGCGAGCGAGGCGCGGATTTGGTTTCTCAAATCCAAAAAAAAAGTTTGACGACATCATCAACAAGTAAGGGAGAAAACACTGGCAAGAGCTCCGTCACCTTAGACATGGTAAAGGAGGAAGGCGAGATTCAAATTTTAATATATGGTGAAAAGGTGAATTTGGAAAAGTCTATATAACTCCTCGAGAATATCTCCTTAGAACACTTTACATTTTTTCTGGTTTTTGAGTCAAAAGAAAATCATAACTAAATTTTTTAAATATTTTTAAAAATCTTACACGCAACTATAATTGTACGTATATAAATTGACTGAACATATCTTAGGGACACTAAAGTAATTTGCTTTGGCACAAAGAAAACCCCCCCCCCCATAATATTTTTGTTTTGGGTATTTTGCTAATTTCAACATATTTCTAGGATTTTGACCAAATTAACTCTTTTTGTTTTAGGTTTTAAAAAAAAAAAAAAAATCCAGTACATTAAAAAAAAAGAAACAAAAAGCAAACTAACATGAAGAACTTTTATAAACAAATAATAAAAAGTTATTATTTCTATAAACTAAGCGACTGCATGTAATCATTACGAGCCTTAGAACAAGATTATTGGAGTCCTTATGAGAGTTCTTAAAGGGGCGGATCCCGCAAAAGGACGAAGGGTTTTGGCTTTTAGTTTTTATTTATAAAACAAATTGGTTTGGTCCTTATACTGTTCACGGACCATACTGACACATGGCGGTCTGTGACTAATTTATTTTTAAAAAAAATTAAGAACTCCATAAAGTTCTAAAACCAACATTATCGGGGCATCTTACCCTCGTTTCTAACCCAATTTCGGCCCAAAAATAAATCAAAATCCGCGTTAAATAAAAGAGACGTTGGCTAATTAAGAAGTTTTGGGCCGAAGTCCTTAGAGCAACGTGGCATGAGGCGATATGCAAACCAAAACGGTAGAGGAAAGTGGACTTTTGGTCTCCATTGCATTCTCATCGTCTCCCTCTTCTCTCTCGCGAGACAGACGATTTCGTGACCGAAGCAATCCACATCGATCTCTGGTTTAATCCAAAGCCTCACCACTGCATCAAATCTACACCAGGTTACTTCTCTGACCTAATTTTTATCGATAATCAGAATTATTAGTCGATATTTTTCACCTATTTTGTTTGATTTTTTTTTTTGCATGCTTGGTGTTTGATCAAGGTTCGTCGAGTTTCGGTCTCGATTCTCATCCTCTTTCTATTCTCGCTTCTCCCGACGGAGAATTTGGGCCCCGTCTTGTATACTCGCTCAATCAACACAGATCTCGCGTTGTGCTCCGAAACTTCACGAAACCAAGTATGTCTTCGTTCTCTGCCCTCCGTTTTTCGATCTAGAGGAATGACCTATATTTGTCTTTCTGTGTTTGATTGGTTTGTTTCTGAAGTCTTTGTTGTATACTTACGCTTCGATTGATGAATATTATGTGTTTGATTGTATGCTTGGTAAGTGACGGATTGTATGCCTGGTAATTACTCGATTGATTAGTGAATTTTTTGAGTTAATGTAATTGAAACTTAGGGTAGCTTTAGTTAATAATGATATAAAGGCAATGTTTGGATTCCTTTTCATGATGAGTACTTACTCGATGGAGTTAAACTTTGTTGTAGATTTGTAAGCTGGTGATTTTCTTTCGGATACAGTGAGTTCATCATTGACTTGAGTTGTTTAAGAGTAACCATTTTTCGAATTGTGACCTAATAAGTAGGTGTAGACATTTAAGAAAGACGTTGTATTGAGTGTTCTAGTTAGTTTGGTTTTGTAGTTAGAAGATGGTTGATAAACATACTTTTAAAAAATCTAGTTTCTATGATTAAAATAAAAGGTGTGTTTGCTTTTATTTATGAAGTTTGTATGATTTTTTTTTATGTATGGAATGTGATATAATGTTTCGTAATTTTCTATTAAATGAATAAATTTTTTTCTCTTATTAGGTATTTAAGTTAAATTGTTATATGTTTTCTTTTCAATACCATTTTATATGTTACTTATTAAAAAAAAATATTATAATCTAAGAACCAACAAAATATCCCACCAATAATCTTTATTTTTATTAAAGTCTCTTAACAATGTCCTTAGGTTAAAAATAACAATAAAAAATTCTAAGAACTCTAGAAAAAGTCCCATTAATAATGTTGCTCTAAAGATAATGTTGCTCTTAAAGACGCTTGGCGTACTAAATGCTAACGTGCGTTCTTACTTAGGCTCTAGTGCTTTCTTGCTTGATTATTACTTTTTATGAAGCGATAAAAATGTACTATGCATGCAAACAATTTAGAAGAGCATTACTATATATATATATATATATGTTAAATTAGCTTCGACATTTCTAGTATCAAATTACCACAGTTTGTCTTTTGGGCGTTGGGATACCATAACTTTTAATAGTTTAGGAGTTTTCATCATTGATGTAATCAACTAATACAAAAGTTAAGAGTAATTAAAAGTTCAAAAATGTGGTCCTATGCATCTATGATTTAATAAGAAAACTATATTTTGATCCGGCTTTTAAAACTCAGATATATTTTTACCAGTTTGATAAAAATTATTTGAATTGATTATTTAAACAAAAAAAATATTTTGTTAATATATAAAAATGTTCTATTATAATGTTGAATTTTGCCTAGTGTTTTCATATCTGATCCAGACCCATAGTTAAACCGATGCATTTTATAATGAAAATCTTACATATTAATTAAAATTTTGATAAAACCTGGTAAATATCTTGAAATTTGCTATTAATATGATATCCATTGATCAATTCAAAGCCCCATAAAACTGATAATATATATATTTTAAAAAAATAGTTAAATAACTCATACTTTTAATATTAAGACAGTTGATATTTTTTTTGTAATTTCTTTATCATTTTCTTGTCATTTGAAAAAAATGAAACAATGGTAAAAGAAATAAAAACAAAATCTATTCATATAACAATATTAGTTTCTTTTCGTTATTAATTACCTACGATAAATTTACATTTTTATTTCTTTTATATCTAAAATTATTTATAAAAAATTGAACTGACATATCAATATTATGGATAAAATGACATAGTAAATAATAATTTGATTTTTGATAGCTAAATAATATTATGCACGAAAATATGATAAGAAAATTAAATAAAAAGGTAATTTTCATTTAAAAAAATTATTATTAATCACAAAATAAGAAAAATTATCCATTACCATAAATACAGAAAATATTTAGTTGTTTAGTTAATTAAAATTTTAAAAATAAGGAATGGTATTATCTTATAAATTTTAAAATTTTAAAATAGGATTCTACTTAATAGTATAGATTATGTGATTAAATCATTTAGTGATTTTCAAGTGTCGTCAGATCACAATAACCTTAATACGTATGATATGTCTTTCCGTAAAAGAAAGAAAAAGATGATCTGTCGACTAAAAGAAAACCAGCGATGATCTGTCGTAAGACGTCTTTCCGTGGCATGAAGGAAAGACAGAGAGCAAGAGAGAGAGAGAGAGAGAGTTGCATACTTGCATTGAGCATGTGCGTCATTGAACCCAGAGCCCGTCAAGTATGTTTAAATAGAGAAGTAACTGATCCGTAAATACAAACATTGATAACAAATAAAACAACAATGTTGTCTTTACTCTCTATTGTCTTGACTTTTCTTTCTCTTGTTATCATGCCTTGTCTCTTCGTCTCTTGGCGTCTACTTGTTCCCCTCTCCATTACAAATATCCGCAGATTCATCAAAACCGCAGCTTCTCAAAGCAATAATAGAGAGGAGAGGTAGTGTGCTTCTGCTAATCTTATAAGTTCTTATAGTACATGATCATATTAATAATATTTCTAAGGACAATTCTCTCAAATATATCTTTTAAGTTTTTATCATAAAAATAATCAAAATAACATTTTTTTTTGAAAATTTTTAAGTTTTTTTTTTTAATTTTTAAAAATTTGAAATCCTATCTCCAAAACCCTACTCCTCAACTCTAAATAAAAAAAAATTAGGATTAATTAACCCAAAAGATATAAATATATATTTATTATTTTTAATAAAACATTTAAATTTATTTTGGTTATTTTCTTAAAAAAGTTTATATTTGTGACAAAAAAATTTTAAGACTCCTAGAGGATTTTTCTATTCTTAATCTTTTGCTAAAATAAATGGTTTCTCCCAGCCAAATCTGATATTAACTATCATAAACTATGCTGTTTAAAAAATATCTGGTATTAACTAATCTCAGAAATTACACCCTAGCCAAAAGTGTCGGTCCTCAACCAACCTAATAAAACTATTAGACTATATATAGTCATTTGGTTTAGCTTGGGATATTAATCATGGATTCAACTTAAAAAGGTTAACCTATTCATATATCAAAAAATTTAACCCTACACACTTAGGTTTTGTAAAGAATAAAAATGGAATATAGGGAGTGATTGGAATGAACTGTACCTTTATGTTTATAGCTGTAGAATTTAATCTGTAGATTTATTTGCTGTAGATTTTTTTTTGTTGTAGCTTTGTAAAGTATTTATTTTTTGCTCTATAAATAAAGCTCTTTACCGTCACTTTTTAAAATTTTTAGAGATATCTTGACTGTAGATTTTTTAAAGAAAAAAAGCATAATTGGTTAATATATATGTTTTTGGACTAAATTTTAGCTGTCTAGAGCATCTATAACAACAACCAATCATCCCCATAATTCGTCTTTAATAGGATTATGTTTCAGCCCATTTATTTTTCTTCATACAAATTATTCAAAATATAAATTCAAAAATAACTAAAACAAAGATCTCAAAAATCTGTTTTCTGCCAAAATAGTAAATCGTGTTTTCTCGATAAAACAACAAAAGAATATTTCTCACCAAAATCAGGTCCATATTGGATAACCATTTATCCAATGTTTTCTACTGCACAAGTTCATATTGGTAAATAAAGATGATTTGACATTTACTCTTCTAAGATTATAATTTTATAGATAACCGGGGGTCATGGACTGATAACAGAATTAGAAGAACCCTCTTGGAAAATTATAAATTTGTTTTCTTTAGTAAACACATATAGATATGATTTGTTTGGGGTACTTGGATGTCAACGAAAACAGTTTTTTGCTCAATGTGTTGCTTTCTATTCTTTTTACTAATTTGTAGCGGTACAACTGGAGAGAAGGAGAAAGGAGGGAAAATGCCAAAGCATGTGGCGATCATATTGGACGGAAACAGACGTTGGGCAGAGAAACGAGGACTCGGGCCATCGCAAGGTCAAGAAGCCGGAGCGAGAACTGTAATGGAGAATGTTAAGGACTATTTCTCTATGGGGATAAACACTGTTTCACTCTTTGCTTTCTCCACCGAAAATTGGGGAAGACCCGGGGTGATTATAAAAAATATGAGAGACGAATCATTTTATCATATATCATTTCAAGATTTTGCTTATATTTCCATCTGTCTAATCCTGTTAGTCATCAATTCTTTGATCAGGATGAAGTTAACTACATAATGGACATGTTTGAGAAACTCGTCAAGTCTGAGATGTCTAACTTGCGCAGGTACCCAACATGTTGGTTTGATCCTTTTAAGTGTTGTATGTTAATTTTTCCATGTTTTTTTTTTTAGATATGGCGTCAAAGTCTCGGTCATCGGGAAACGGACAAATATTCGGGAGTCACTTCTAGATTTGATACGAGAGGCAGAAGAAGCTACAAAGAACAACAAAGAGAAGCATCTCATTGTGGCGTTAGACTACAGTGGAAAGTTTGATATCTTACAAGCATGCAAAAGTCTTGCTGAAAAGGCAAAAAACGGGCTGATCAATGTAGAGGACATCGACGAAAATCTGATGGACAAAGAGTTGATGACAAGCTGTAGTGAGTTCCCAAACCCTGACCTACTGATTAGAACAAGCGGAGAACAAAGGATTAGTAACTTCTACCTATGGCAATCAGCTTACACAGAGCTCTATTTTCCTAGTGTTCTATGGCCTGACTTCGGAGGAACTGAGTATCTCGAGGCCTTGGATTGGTATCAGAAGAGGCAGAGGCGATTCGGTCGAAGGGTTTAAACTTTCCAGTTTTTATGTTTTATTAATAAATGGTTTAGTTACTAAATATATGCGTTGTTTTCACGTTTACTAGTTCAAAAAGCTACTTCAGCTGTTACTATTTCTGATAAACATCATTGTAAGTTTATGATTTTAAAATGTTATTGTATGAATAATATCGTGTTAGCCCATGTACGTAAATGCATCAATTTTATGTTTTTTTACTCAAAAACATTATGCATGCAGGTTTGCATACGTGGAGGGGTACTAACACTAGAAAGTACTAGGTAGATCACTACATTAATTTAATTAACATATAAGCGTTGAACAATATAACCAAACTAAATATTGATCCACACGTCTGATATTTATTTTTCATAATTTGTATTAATATTTGATGAGTCATTATATAATTAATTAAATACTTTTAAGTTATTATATATACTAACCCAAATCAATTCAGATAATATAGTTACTTTTGCTTATTTATTTTTTAAGATTATTTTTAGTTTAGATTCAAAATACTCAAACCAAATTAGTTGATATGGTTATTTTTTGTACAGTTATCCACATCTTTGATAACATTAGTTTTTGAATATTTAAAGTTTCTATACATCAAAACCGAATTCATCTAGATTTCATAATTAGGAAAAACAATAAAAGAAGTTCATATAATAAATATAATGATTACAACAAATGAAGTGATTATTTAGAAAAAATAAATAAATAAATAAATGAAATGCAATGTAATGAAAATTTGTAAAAATATCACTTAAAATAGGCAAATATTATTTTGTAATTTTGTTTTAACAGAATAGATATAAGCATAATTTTTTCAGAAAATTAACATTCAAACCGTGTAATAGGAGTTAAGATCCGATAACAAATCTGATTTGTACAAAATAACCCAAGTCAGCCTATTATGCCTAATATTTTTTATTAAACAAATGGAAACTAAATCAGCAAAAGTTTTCAAAATATCAACCAACTTTGAAAATAGCTTTTCATATTCTCATTAATTACAAAGTATTTTCCAATATGTACAGAAGCAAAAATATATGTGAAATGTACTGATATATTTCTTATAAATGAAAATTTACCAAAATATCAATTTTTATAAAACATCAAAAAAGTTAAGTTCTCCGCCTTACTAAGTCGAAATTCTCACCTGTTAAAATGTATATATTCCTAATATTTTACTTAAATATACATACAAATTTCAAACTCTCTAATATCTTAATACAATTTACTATAATTAAATTTTCATCCATATAAAAATGGTAACAAACATATTATTTTAGTTTTAATATCTTAAAATAAACTATTGTATATTAATAATTACGGGTACTAATATCCTACGCTAAATATATTTTTCAAAGTGTAAATATTTCAAATATATTTATAAAATTTAAAAATAATTTTGGCTTTTTAAACACTTAAATGAATTTGAATGGGTCTAAGTGAGACGATATAATTATTGTGGGTCTAAATAAGCAACTTTGTTAGATCAAATAGGCCTAAAAGGTTCAAATTTTAAACGAGATTAATCTTAAATGAGATTAATTTAAACTGTATGGATCTACCCATTTTAACATTTTAACAAAACATTTAACCCGTTTTGGTTTGATTTTTACAATATAAAATATCTCACTTTAAAAATGGTGGTAAACATCTAGTAATAATTAAAACTCAAACACAACTTTAAAACTCAGACTATATGGAATCTGAATGCGTCGACTTTATATTTCTCTATTAGGGGTAACCCGCCCTACGGGCGGGCGGATAAAAAAGCAAATGAATAAAATATAAAAAATTTCAAATCTTAATGTTTAGTTTACAAATATTAATGTATTTTTGTAACATTTTCTTTTACTATTTATTTTATTATTTTTATTATATATTATAATCATATTTCATTAATAAAAATTCATAAAATATAATTATTTTACATTTTTAAAATATTTGTCTATGATTGTAAGTATAAGATTTTATAAAGAAAAAACTGTAACGTCCCTTGGTTTAAAAGTACAAAAGATGAATTGTTTTTTTATTTTTTTTTTGTTTATTTACTAAATTTACTGATATTTATTTATATTTTAATAATTTTTTATTTAAAATTATTAGAAAATGGTTAATTTACTGTAACTAATAATACACATTAGTGATTTTATAGCTACAAATTAGGACGTTGACAACGTATTTTATCCTCGCAGAAAAAAGTATAAACTTGAAAAAAGCATAGATGCTCAAATCAAATGAAGCAAGTTACGGCAACAACAAAATTTCAAGGAAATGGCAATGCAATAACTTTATATTTAGATGTTGAACTATTGTTTTCTCGTCTAACATGGTGACAAGAGTTATAGATAGTTGCAAACATAACCAAATTGACTTAGTTAAAATATTGATATGGCTACCGTATTAATTCTCGACCAAGTTACTAGCATATGACCATAACTTCAACATAGTAAACTTTCACATAAGAATATAACACACATGTGGGACAAATTTATAATTTGTATATGGTGCAAAGCGTATGACTGGTTAAAATTAATGGTAGTTCTTCTCTCATTTTTAACTTTTTATATTTTTGATATTCTTAAAACACTGTTTCTGGTATCACTCCCATTCCTCTTTAATACCTCATTAATCCCATTTGTGTGAAAAATCTTTTGCTTCGTCTGAGCTTTCGTTAAAGCCTAATGGACTCACCATATCTTCTTTTGACTTCATGTGATGAACGCCAGGGAACAGTGACATGCCAGAGAAGTCCAAATAAACTTGTGGTCAAAGAAAGCTCAGTTTGACATCATTTATACTAAAATGGCTTGCAGATCCAGCATGATGATTATAAGTAAGCGTTGAAGCTGTATCGTTTTCTTTCCTCATTTCGAGTCATCACTGTGATGTCTTTGGTGGTGTTGGGAGAATGATTTCTGTCTCAGCTTCCTTTTTTGCTTCCTGTGAAAGCAATGAACCAAATTACAAATGAAGAAACGGGGTTTTGAAGCATCAGTTTATTCTTGTTTACAGCTTTGATACAATATATATCGATGAGGATAGATTTCTGAAATACATGCATGTTAGGTTGGTGACTTATTAAGAGTTTAAGCTCTTTGATTGTTTCATGTGATTTTCCTGTATTTTTGGATATCAAGTTATTTCTTTTCTTTGTACTAACTCTTCCCCTGCAAAAAAAATATTTAAATCTCTCAACACACGTGATCACATAGACATACATATAAACAAATTTTGTAAAAATCGATTGATTGAAACCTTTAATTGAAGTTCTTCACGGTACTTCACATCCATTTCTTTGTTATAAGGGCAATTAGGTAATGTCCAAGCGTAAGGTTTTGTGTTATGGTACTGAATGAATAGCAAGACTACATAAAAGAGCAAAACATTGTCAGTCTAAAATATATATATACATGACTGTAATATCATTCGATATTTGATTTAAGTTCAGAGTTCTTTCTATACCTTTCACATGAGAGCAGAAGTTAGATGATAAATTCCATTGAAGATCAACCGCTTTTGTCAGAAACTTAAAGCGTTCACTCTAACAAACTTCATTCATTTTTTTTAGTTGGTGGATCTTCAATCTACAGCGACAAATCCACGCACAAAAGTCATCCAAAATTTCATTCTGAAATGAGTTAATTCCGCATATCATTTTTTGATCTCTTTATCACTTAGTTTTTTTCTTTAAAAAGTTGTCTTCTGATTAGAATCTCAGAGAAAGCACAGTCCGAGACACAACATAACTAGTCCCACCTTTTTTTTTGGATACAAACTATTTCATCTAAGTGTTTTGAACCCAAATAAAACAAAAAGAACTAAAGAGCACAACTAAAACATAAATTGAAGACCAAACATAAACGTAAATGCTGAAGACACTACCACGGTGGCGATGATGTTCAAAGTACCTGAAACCCAACAAATGTTTTAGATATCCACCACGTTTTACTTTGGTCTCCCAGATTAGAAGTAACCGCACCTGGACGATGGAAGAGCAGTGACCAGCCTTCAAATCACCAAGAAAACACTACAAAAAAAATCTACATTGATAGCAGATTGTTATAGCACGTTTTACCGAACTGCTATCATAGAAAACTTAGAAATTTACGTATTATATAATAGCACTAGATAAACGCTATGATAGAATAAAAACTAAAATAGCACATAATTAATGTTATTTGAAAAACTAAGTGAGCGAGAAGATAAAATCACCGATTCCCCCAAATACTTAGCGGGAAATTATATTTTAGCGCCAAAAACATAATTTAAGCGGCTTTGATAATGCTATAATAGCATTTTTCTAATGCTAAGAAAAACTATTTGAACCCTTAAAATTTTTACATGATTTTAAACCCTAAACTCTAAAGACAAACCCTAAAACCCTAATTTTTATATGATAACTTCAAATTTTATAATTAAAATCAAAAATTAATCTTTTTAATTTCAAGCTATAATTTTCTAAGCACAAATCTTAAAACTTTAATCAAACCAAAAATCATACCTGAAATGAAATGGGTAAGTTGAATCCCTAGAACTATTTTTACACCCTAAACTCTAAACATATATTTTCAAACTCTAAAAAAATTAGAGTTTAAAATTTTATGTTTAGAGTTTAGGGTATAAAAATAGATTTAGGGTTTTAAGTATAAGCTGAAAGTATAATATTTTCTAAAAATCAATCGAAAATCTTAAATCAATACCCCAAACATTTAACTCTCAAATCCTATTCTCAAATCTTTATTCTAAACTCTAAACTTTAAATATAAAATTTAAATAAAATTTTTTTAAACTTAATAAATAAAATCTTGAGTTATAAATCATAAAAATGTTATATATATACATATGTACTTTACACTAGTTATATATAAATCTTAATTTATTTACATATGAACTTTACATAAATGCATTTTTATAAAAAAATCCTATAAAACTAAAACCTCAATTTGTTAAAGTTATATACCATTAAATTTATAAATATAAATTATAATTTAAACAATTAT